ATAGTCTCAGCTGTTGTATACAATGTAAGCAAAACCATGCAAGGCTGCCATTTCCTGTTTTTCTTAAGAAACAGCATGTAGATAGTTGTGTAGCTAAATGCCATTGTGTATGTTTCACCAACACAGGAGCATTTCTGGTGCAAATCCTTATAAACAATCATAGATGGACATGTGTGGTTATTGTATTCACTCACTAAAGGCGTAGGTTTGAACACTCCTGTCAAATCATTTAATCCATGGCTCTAATCGCCTTTTTTTTTTTTTTCCATGGACACCCAGAGGGAGTGCTGGGCGGATTACCAGCCACACGTTGCAGTGTGTCTGCTGTGATGGTTTTGCACTTGTATTTCTTTAATTAACAAATGAAATACAAGGTGTTACAGTACAGTATATAGTAACTATGGATGTACACATATACAGGTCATGGCCAATGTATATTTTTACCAACTCCTACTCCAGTTGTGGTATTGGATTTTTATAAGGTTGTAATAACTATTATTCTAATTACTGATTAATTAAGAAAATAAAAGGCAGATTAAGTAGTTCATCTTTTTATCTATAAGGAAAGAGTAAAAAATACCTGTTGTCATTTTCAAATCCCAAGGTGACATCTTCGGTTTGCTTATTTCCCAAAGATATTTATATTTCCAGAAACTTTCATTGGAGCCTGTATCTGTATAATATGTTCTACTATTTCTAGACTGTACTCTTTTTTCATATTTACCTCTGCAGAACAGAAAGCTCACAATGCCAACTAGCACTAGCTTTATAAGCAGCAGCTATGATCTTTGCTTTGAATAACTGGCAAACTTAAATTGATGCTTAATGCAGGTGTCAGTCCTCTTCTATTTGTGCTCTGTGCACATTTTAATCCAACTACAACAAAAATAACAAAAACATCTGCTGATATCTGGCAGAAAGCAGGAAATATAAGCATTAAAAATCAGTTTGGGGCAAAGTGCAGTCTGGGCTGATCCTATTAAGTTTTTTTATGTGTTCTTAGCAAGGATGAACACCAAAGAAGGTAAATAATTATGCAGTATTTGCAGTATCATGCAAATGCTAAACTAAGGTTACATGGACTGGAATCTGATTTTTTTTGACTCTGTGACTTCAGGATCACACAGGACTGTTCAATTAATATGCTAGCTAGAGTTCATCTTTTTTTCACAAGTTAGCAGAGGAAACAAACAAAACCAACTTTAAAAAGACACTACGAAGCTAATTATGCTTCTGTAATTTCAACCAAAAAAAAAAGAAACTGAGTAACTGCACAATTAATTGAGCCACCAATTAGGTTCTGATCCAGGAAAGCCTTCAGTGCCCAAGGAAACCCCACTGTTCATGGCAATCAAAATAGCTTCCTCTGCTATTTTAAAACCGAGCAGCCAAAGTAAGATAGAGAACTGCTGGATTCCTCCCTTCAAGTGAAACTGATGAAAAATTCATCTTGCCAGGTTCTGCTTTATCTTGAGCTCCCTGCAAAGCTTCATTAAATCTGCTGTAAAACCTCTACCTCGATTTGGTTCAGCACTGAGAAGCTACTGAGGCTAGCCTCTGCTATGCATCACATTTACATTAATCCTCATACATTTACATTCACATTTTCAATACTGTATATGCATTTTGCTGAGAGAGCAGTTAACAGTCTATGGATAATCGGTGGAGACCTCTGAAACTAAGATATTGTCAACATGCAAACAACAGGTTAGCTTAGAGGGGTTAAAGGCCACAGCATCCTGACAAATACATTTGTGTGCCTTTTCAAATGACAAGTGTCAGCAGTGAGAAGGTGGGGAGGAGGGAGTTAACGTGGGTGGAAACTAGCATCAAGTGAGCTTTCCGTTCATGGAGAGGGATTAGACGCCTCTCACTAGAAACAGAGGTTGGATTCAATCCAGCCCTCTCTCCTTGCTGCTTTTCTCTCTTTCACCTCTTATTTTTCTCTTCTCTTATCCCTTGGTCTTTGATCTTTCTCTGTCCTTTCTTTCTTCATTCTTTTATTCCTTATGCTTCTTCTTAGCTGAGTATCCCCAGCACTGACAAGTTCATTCAGTCATTTTTTAAACATCTCTCAAAGGCAGGGAAAACGTTCAATTGACTTAAACTTGTTGATTTTTAAGTTGCTTTGGTAAATTTCCTATTCATTCATTCTCAATTATCAAACACATACACTCTTTGGCTTTCCTCTCTCACTTTCAGTTGGTCAACTCCAGTTGCTGACAACAATGTATCTCATCCATTTGGTTAATGTACAACTAATTTGCATTGACTAAGATGTTTCAGAGAGAACATACTGTCGCTGCAATTGTGCTTAGGTTGCGTCTAGCCCTTAGATGAAGGTCTTGATTCAATTTTGAAGATCGAAAGCTGACACGAACAATGTGAAGAGATGCAAACCCCTGCGTCCAATGCCAAAGTTATATGCTTTCAACGCTCAGCCATCCACTCCAACCTGCTCCCCATGACTTTTTGCTATTTTTTAAAAACAAAACAAGCAATTTGAAGGTGTCAACTTGAGCTCTGCAAAATTGTGACTTTTTTTTGACGTGACGATTACTAAATTAAGTGACAAAATTATCAACAATTGCAATGGTAATGGTTTGACCGATGTAAAAACTATCAAATAAGTTTGATATGAAGCCAAATACCAAACTGGTAATACAGAATTTTACGACCATGTGTCACACGTGAGTCCGCCGCTCCCAAGTGGAACATTATGAGAACCCATGAATGAGAGTGGAGTGACAAGTTAATGAGTTCTACACAACAGGTTCCTGCAAATGTTTATTAAAAGCCTTGTTAAATAATGAAGGGTGTCTGTCCACTAAACTTAAACGGGGCAAACAAGAGTAGATCAAAACAAGGCTTCGTGGCTAGCTCCCTCGCTAACGTAGCAAACACATGTGATAAGCATGAATGATATAATGGTTGTCAGGTACAGGGTTATATTAGAGGTATACTGAAAAGGGACTGTACATGTACGTATTTCTCAAACTAGTTAGCAACTTAGTATAAAGTTCATACTAGTTCAGTTGGTTAAAACTGCATTAAATCAAACTGTATTGAGCTTGTACACCGGGTCAGACCAGACACTGACCCATCCGCAGACTGGGTTCAGGCTGACTGGCTATATTGAAATGGTTGTTTATGAAGACTGGGATGTATTTTCAAAAAGTTTGCATTTGCTGTTGATCTGTGTCCCTGTACTTTAATTCTTCTCTTGGAGCTGACGTCTTCCACCATCATCATCAATCATTTTGAAATATTACTGCAATGTTTAGGTCTGAAGGCTTGTTGTGTAGTTGTAGAGATCCTGTTTACCATTGTTACAGTCCATATCTTGTGTGCACAAAAGGAGTTTAAAGACACCTTCCCCACAAGGTCAGGGGCTTCTTTGAAATGCACACAAAGGGCCACTAGGACAAGAAACATTGATAGCTGGGCTTGGCTCACTGTGTTTTTTGTTTTTTTCCTAAAAGCCTGGATAATTTTACACCTCACCCTGAAACGCACAATAGTGACTGATGACAGCCATCCTGGGGTGGAGGAACTAACCTAGAAGCCAGAAAACTACAGAGGCAGGCTGACCTATAAAGTAGACTTTTCTTTCCCAAACTCGGTGGGAACATTCTGGAAGGAAAACAGTCTCACAAACTTCAGCTGTTCACTTACTGTAACAACTATCAAACTGCCCCTAAGCAAGGCACTCAAGCCGCACCTGTTTGAGCTCTGGAACAAACAGTACAGACCTGTGGTTGTACCACAGAACTATACAAGTGTGAGGAAGACTGGCGGATAAATAAAACGGGCTCTCAGTCATATAATCCTGCATTAATAAATGTTTAAATAAAGGCAATTAGACACGAGTACTAAAAAGATAAGCTCCTCTCTTCCTAAACAGCCGTAATAACTAGGTGAAATATAAGCCTGGAGCACCCTACTAGTAATACAAATCTCATGCTTTATATTAGGCAGGGATCATAATCATCATGTTTTGTGATAAATTAAAACCATTCTTGTCAACAATTCATCTGTAGGGTATATTCTTCCTTCAGAAGAAAGAAACACTGCATTGCAGAAGAACATAAAGCCCCTGTGTCGTTTGCATCTTATTTTTGGAAACCAACTGCCTCTGAGAAGACTTGCTGTCTCTGTCATCATTATATGATGAGTCACAGCCAGCGCTGCTCCAGGTGTAGATGTGAAAGTGAACACAGACATACAGTATTACATAGGAGAGTTGTTTGGGTTGGTTTGCGATGTTGCCATGATTTCCATTTTTTTAAGTGGACTGACTCAAAGTCTTTTTCTTATCTGAACATTAAAATTATTAGGTCAGTATCCATTATAAATGTTTCACCTTTTTTGTGACAAGTCATGATTTTCCCATGTGCCTAAAAAAAAATGTTGTTTGATCATTTTAAGTATTAGGGTTTCATGACTATCTGAAAACACACAAAAGGCAAAATTACAAGGATTTTTAAATCAAGAATCCTTGTTTTCCTGAGACCCTGAAGTAATCAGAATATCACCAACAGGATCCTAACATGGATCCTAACATAAATAAATTAAATAAGAGTTCCTCACCCTGTCAGAGTTGCCCCGGTCTAAACCCAGAGGGAAGAGTTGGGGATGAAGGGACACTGCAGTGTCAGAGTTTGGCTCAGGATTTCCTGACACCATCTTGTCAAAGATGTCAACTTGCTTCTTCAGCTTGACAGTAATAATTTCTCACATTAACTATATTCTGCAGTTTCCTGCATCTTTCTGAGGAAAGTTTCCATTCCAAGTCCATAGTATTAAAGTTGAAAATGACCATAAATATAAAAATAAAATAAAGTCCTAAGATTTATGCGCACCATTAAGGTGTTTGACACTTCAATTTTGGTCTCTTTGTGCCTGTCATGCTAAAATATATACAATGCAATTAGGGTGGGCTATAGAAAAACAACAACACATCTCTTCATGTTGTGTTTGTTTTCTCTGTGTTGTTGCAGATCTTATTGTCAAACTGGCAAAGGACAAGTTTGGAGCCATTCAGACGGAATATCAAAAGGTAACCTTGTGTGTGTGTGTGTGTTAAAATGATTGTTTTGCTCTGCATATTTCTTTACCTTATTTGTTTTTCTGATTGGATGCAGCAATTTGTGATATAATTTACAGAAGAAATGTACCTCTGAGATGCTCTGTAGCCCCGGACTTCTCTGAAGCAAGACGTAAATAGCTTTTTACAAGCCAAGGCAAGGCCATCTTTTTACTGGCACCCCAGAAGAAATGGTAATTGCTTCTGGCACAACCTGTGAATTTAGAGAGAGATACATCATTTGAGTTTTTATGCGGAACCACTTTGATAACGAAAGATGTTTTTTAAGCTCTTTGACAGTCCCTGAGATCTAAAAGAAATACAGCGAGAGTTCACTCTGTACCTTCCTTTCAATTATGGGAGAATTTGTCTGTGTGCAGTGTTACAATATGCAGTGATGTGGATATGCATGCCAGTTTTGAATTCTTTGATTTCTCTTTTTGTTGTTCTATTTCATCCACATGTCTTTGTTTTGTTGCTTTGCTCTTTCTTTGACGCTGCGTCGCCTCTGTCTTCTGCATGCCCTCTTCATCTGATCTGCTCTGGCCCCCCTCAGCCAGAGAACATAGTGCTGACCCTTCAGGTAAAGTCTGCTCGCTGGACTTAACAGTGCAATCCTTCCCCTGTCTCATCATGCTTCACTGTCCAGAGTCACCATGGTTGCACAATTCAAGCTAAAATGACATATTCCTACTTTTTTTTTTTGTTAATTTCTACATCTTCATCATTGGAATATTTATGATTAGTTGTGCAGCCCTACTACTCTCCCCAGTCCTATCCACCTCCAACTGTAGCTCCTTTGTCATTTGAGACATGTCCTGATTTAGATATTTTCAGCTGCATGGAGGAGCAACAATGCTGACTGGATCACCAAAGAGATTTAATGCTCTGGAATGAAATTAATACGTTTTACCAGACCATCGTCATGGCCCTGACTCTCCTACAGTAAACTTATTTTGAAACAGTACTCTTTGTTTTCCTACCTAGCTGCTGAGGAGTTGTTCAGAGATAGGCATGTAACACAAACTAGTACATTTCCATCAAAGCCATTTCAAACCAATGGAAAAAATACCAATATGGGTTTGGCAAGTTATCCTTAAAAGTCTTAACCGTTACTACTCAATTTGTGTCAGTATTAATCTGTTTTATGCCATAGTTATATACAAAAAAACTCCATTCTACTCCTTGAATTTACCTTATTATAATGACTGTATTGTTACACAGATGAGAGAGCCTTATGATGAAGCTGTGCTGTTGAAAAAAAACATATACCAGTGGATAAACATAAATGTTACAGAATAGCTTTGAAACCGCTGGTCAGCTATCTAATTTGCTTCTCAGCAGTATTTGCTCTGATATCCATGGAGGCAAGGATGAGCCACACATGAACACACACATTTGATCTTTTGCGTGCTGATGATGGCAGAACTGTTTTTACTACTATAAATCGCAGCGCTGCCACAGCTTTATAGAGCTTCATAAAGACATCTGACCTCCAAAGAGCTTCCAAAGACCTCACTCAAGATATACAATAATACCTAATAAAAACTTGGCCAGTGTTTACAAGTTGCGCTATTTTCTTTGCTTCAATGAGGACAAATCAATTTCTCTTTTTTGCATAAAACAAACACAAAAGTCAACAAAATATGACTACACTGTTATTTCGATTGTGTAATGGACATTTTTAAATAAATTGGATTTATGATTGTGGCTGTTTATGAAACTTTTTCTTAGAGGACAAAAATCTCAATATCAATATAGCCCTAAACAGAAATGTTACCCAATGTCATTCATACTGGAGCTTCAACATTCGTTGTTTTGTAAAAGAAAATATTCTCTCTGATATCAGTACAACTGTCTTACCGCTATATCAAAGTGATAAAGTGTTGTGGGTTTTTGGAATTGGCATTGACCTTGACTATCTGCTGAATGCCACCGCCTAATAAATGCAAAGTAGACCAATCATGCCTTAAAAGACCATTTAAATCTAAGAGTAATAATAATAAGTAATAATTTCCCTGATTGAAGACTGTGCTCTTGTTGAAGGTTGGCTTAGCTTGAATGAAAGCCTCCATACAGTGGATTTAAATAGTCCAGTAGTGAACAAAAGCCTTGCTGCTAGTTGTGAGGTTGGAGAATTGCAGTCTTCAAGTTCGCTACTTTAAAAAAATCATAAATATATCGTTGAGAATATCATGTTTCTCTTGTGATTCCAGTGTTCATCTACCCCCAATAAAATCAGCACAAAAGAACAATGCCGTTAATTTATTCACAAGGGCTTCTATAACTCAGGCATTTAGCTTACAGTCAATGAGCAGTTTAGGGTAACAGCATCTTGCTGAAGGATACTTCGGCAGCTGCTTTGATTAAATCTGATTAAAGTTACAGTATTGCCTGTCTTCACCGCTCAGATTTGCCACCACATCATCATGTAGTTTGTTCTTATCGGAAGGTCACCTTCTTCTTTTGGGCACTTGCCAAGACAAAGCTATAGTCCAAAAATAGTTGGAGCTGCAGGCCCTTGAAGAGTGGTGGTGGGAAAAAAAGAAAAGATTTTTGACCTTTTTTTTTGTGAAGATTCACCCAATAACAAGCAGAGCCCAGAAGCAGAATGACAATGCAAGCGTTCAGATTTGCACAATGTCCTCAACGACTGGGTTGACATTGGTGCTTTTAGATGACATGGGACACACATACACTTACACAACCCCAGTGTCTCTCTTTGTTTTCTTTCATAGCCTCGCTACATCATCAAAACTCTCTGGTTCCCTCTCTTTTTGTCTGTTTCCACACACCATGAAATTCTCCATGTTTTTATTCCTGAGGGTCAGAAAGGCTGTAACTGACTTTTTCTTCCTACATCTTGTAAACTATGCTTTTGACACAGCCAGGAGCCTAAGTGGCCGATCACAAGGAGGTGCATCGCTGCAGGCGCGATCGCTTCAAAAATGCCTTGGCAGAGAGGGCCAGGGAAAAAACAGCTAGTGTGCCTGTGGAACGAGGCAGAGTGTGCAACAGGGCAATCAAATATGATTAACAGAATACATTTTAAAAAAATATATATTTTAATATTAATATTTTTTTTGGGGGGGGCTTTTATTGCTTTTAATCAATAGTGACAGCTGAAGAGTGACAGGAAGGGGGGAGAGAGAGAGGGGTTGACATGCAGCAAAGGGCCACAGGTTGGATTCAAACCCTTGGCTGCTGCAGCAAGGACTCAACCTTGGTACATGGTGTACCAGCGCTACCAGATGAGCTGTCAGGATGCCCCAACAGAAAAAATTAGATGAAGGAGACAGCGGGGTCCAGATGAGTAGTAGTAGTGCTCCGTAGCTCTCTCACAGGCAAACAGCCAGCTAGCTAACCTATTTAACAGCATAGTAAACAGCATCGAAATCAGAATCAGAATCAGAATTATGTTTATTGTCAAGTACGTTTTTACACCTACGAGGAATGTGACTTTGGCATTGGTGCATAAAATATACAAATATACAAAATCACACAAAAATCACACAGAAAAATAAAGTACTTTCAAAATAAAAAATAAATAAAGATAAGAAAGATAAGAAAAGAAAACTGTGCAGAAGGAGGGAGTGCATTAATGTAATGCATATATACAGGGTGGGTATTAAGAGTCAGTGTCAAAGGGGGTTCCAGGCCTTGTTAATGAGGCCAGCTGCAGTTGGGAAAACACTTTTTGTGGCGAGAGGTTTTGGTCCTAATGGACCGCAGCCTCCTACCAGAGGGAAGTGTTTCAAAGAGTTTGTGTCCAGGGTGGGAGGGTAAAACAAGTAAGATGTAAGTAAGAAGTGGTAAAGCCCGCCTCTTGCTTGATTTGAAGTTTAACACTGACGAGCGGCGGGCACTCCGGCAGGACTCCGCAAACCTTTATGTGCATCTAAAAATTGCCAGAAAACCGTGATGCACAGTGCAAGAGAGTGAAAGCAGTTTGCAGGCAACACATTTCTCTTGATATGTCTCTGTGTGATGGGTCCCTAACCCATTCAAACACAAGCTGTTGGAGGTTGAATTATGTTCACACCCTGAGACTTCCAAGTTTGCACACAGATTTTCGAATGAACCAGACAAGAATACTCTTGTCTGACAAGTTCAAAAGCCATTTCTTTTCACCCTGTATGTCAAAGAGCAGAAGCAGCAGGTCCCTGGAGAAGGCAGGGTCATTGACTTATGAGGGCGATTAAGATTAGTGCGAATCAGCTGGGAGAGCAGTTCGTCCATTCAGGAGCAGTGATAGCAGCCCTGCTTTGATCCTTTCATAACGAGAAGCTATTGAACATCTTTGTGACAAGTTGCATACGAGTTAGGAGTTACCGATCCCCTATTAAATTTTTCCAATTTCCAAAGCCTGTGCTGAGTGTGGTTTAGATAGGAGCTGATTAAACGAGAGCACTGTGTTACATGACAAGAAGAGGTGGAAGCTCTACTGAGAACCTGCCAACGGCAGCAATTTAACTGTCTCAATATATCAGGAGGAATTTGTCAGAAAATCGTGTTGAGTCACCTTGAATATTTCTAATAGTCAATCAAAGTTGAAGAATACTGAGGCTTTATGATGAGGGATGTGCAGATTTCATAGCTGACTATTCAGAGATGAAGTAAAATCCCAGTTTATACAGTACAAACTGTCTAAATACAGAAATAGTAAGTACTTTTCATATAAGATCAATACTATATATGTATACGACAATCAGCATTCTCCTGCTCACTCCATGTCTCAGTTAATGCATTTAAATCTTACTGGACCTCACCACAAAATGTGCATTCCTAGTAACTGTTTAACCTTAACAACTGCCCTCTGATCCTCACAATCTAACTATCCCCTGTAGATACTGGGTATCTGCACTCTGAAAGTGCATGTGTATGTTGTTTTACAGGGGAAAACTGCAATTATTCCAAAAATTGAAGAATTAAGCTTGTCAACCATTAATTTTCTAGTTTATCCAGTCATGCTTCAAATGCCCAAAGGTAATATACACTCAGCTTATTAGCTACACCTAGCTGAAACCAATGCAGTCTTATACAACAGTTGTGTGATAAATTCTCGCTTCGTTAAGGTTAGAATGTTCAGTTTAAGGTTCAATTGTTTTAGAGATGTGTTGATTCAATTTTATAGTAATTTTGGAGGTTGTTGTTCATGGTGAATTGTACTGCACTATAGTAGTGTTTCTAATATTTGGCGTACTCTTATCAATATTACTGTGATTGACAAATTGTTACAACCATGAAGGTAGAGTGTAGGGCTGTTATATAAGACTGCATTAGTTTTACCTGGGTGTAACAAATGATCTGATAAAAGGACCATGTAATTTTTCCATTTGGAATTGCAAAGTTTTCACCCAACAATATGTCACTAAAGTCACATCTTGAACTAAGTAACAGAAATCTGCCACTGCCAAGAGATCATTTCACATATGTTTGATTTACTCAACTCACAATAAACTGGATGTGGTTGAGTGATGCACCTTACTTTTGTAAAACTTTCTGCTATAAAATTATTAAAAAGGATGAACTGCACTGAAACAGGTATAATTATCTCACCCAAGGGGCTGATTTGGTACCTAGTTTCAAGAAAAATCTGGATTTTATGACTCATTGAAAGTCTAAAGTACTTGTTAAGATGGAGTTTTTACTGCCTTGTAGTCCATTCCCATTGAAGTAGATTTTTCATCAGAAATGCTGTCTTTCCCCTTCATTAGAGTGAAAAAAAAACTGCACCACAGGGCTACATAGATGGCCCTGACTCCTTTGAGTATTTTCTCATCATCCTTCATGTGTCGCTATCCTCTCAGTGCATATTGGAAATGTTGTCATTTGTTAGAAATGGACGTAAAAAACAACCTTTAAGAATTGCCTACTGCGAGTCTACACCAGCTTGCAGCAAAGTATGTCCCACCCATCTTAAGAAAGTCTTGGCATTTATGTTGTGTAATAATGCAGTTAAGGACTTGGTTATTGAATTGGCCTGTGGTGTTTATGAATTAGGAAGAAAGGATTCTCCGGCAGTGTGTAGTGTTATGCAATGTGTTTATTGTTTCTACACAAATCCCTTTTGGACAAAGAGTAGAAAGAATTTCCAGCGGTGGGATTCTACCAGATATTTTTAGATCTGTTGCTTATTTTATCCTCTGCCTCCTTGTGTGTATCCTCCCTTCTTCTCCTGTACGCCACTATTAATCTATCCTTTCTCTCTCCCTCACTCCCCAACTCATCTGCCCTCCCCTCCTGTTCCAATCCTTTTTTCTCTCAACAACCCCCATCCCATTTACCCCTCTTGTTTAATTTCCCTTTTTCAATTTTCACCTCTGATCCCCCTTTTTTTTCCACTTCATCTCGTTTCCATGTTTATCACCTTTCTCCATTAAATACTAAAATAATAATAATAATAATGATCTGTCCTTCGTTCCTCATCTCATTTTTTCCTTTCACTCCTCCCCCCACTGACCTCAGGCCATCTACTACGAGATAGGCTTCCTAGTATGTGCGGCTGTGGGCCTGCTGTTTGCCATTCTGATGCCGATAGTTGGCCTCTTCTTCTGCATGTGCCGCTGCTGTGACAACTGTGGCGGCGAGATGCACCAGCGCCAGAGGAAGAACGCAGACTGCCGGCGTGGCCTGCTGGGAACACTGCTCTTCTCCACCTCACTGGTCATCACGTGAGTATGACAAATATACACACACAGACACAGATGGAGAAGAATACGCAGATATCAGCTTGCAAGCAGACATGCATTTTCTGGTGCAAACATGCACACAGTGTGTGCAATGTGTATATGCATGCACACGTACACTGCAATAAAATACAAGCTACACCTCTGTCTTTTATTGTGTTGTACCCATGCACACACATGTACATATGTACACCTCTGGTCATCTTGTGAGTCTACACACAAACACACACACGGTCAGATCCACCCTCCCCATCCCCCATGCTGTTTTCTATATATAGTAAAGTCCTACTGTAGATAATATGTTGCAGCACCCTTCATACTTGTGTTCAGTCGAAGCACTAGTCATTATAATCTGAAGAGGGGATCACACTGAAGCTTTACTGTGGTCAGAACTTCATGATGTTCTTCATTCATTAAGATCATTACATCTCAAATATATTTAATCAAAGATAAATTATATAAATCAAAGATAAACAAATGACTCTCAAATCCACTTTACCAATATACACAAAATATAGATAGAATAATACAATATGACTAGGTGTCATATCTTTCTAATCCTCACCTGAGAATACACTCTGTGCTACAGTTTCATCTTCACCTTACTATTCTCCTCAGTTTTCTGTATAATAATTATAATACCTTCTGCATCCACCTTCAGGATTTATTATATCACTGCTCCAGCTGACATTTTAAGCATTGGGCTGATGATTTTATCCATCTAGAAAGATTCTAGCCCTAGAATTAGTTCCAATATTTTAAATTGTTTCTTACTGTAGTAATTTTAATTAATTGCTGTAATCTAGGGATTGAATAGGTAGTACCTCCAGCTATTTTCAACCTGGCACCAAATTACCATCATCAGTTGGAACTACTTCAGCCTTGCTTGACACTGTGTGGTTCCTTTTTAACAGTAGATACTCAGATACAGGTGACTGCAGGCCAACAGGAAGATCATGACTTATCTTACTGTTGTTTAGGGTAAATGGTCTTTTGCAGAGCCACCATCTTGACAAATAGGAAATAGTAGCAAAGTTAGTGAAATGGCAGATGATGGAAAATAGGTGGATTTCCTAGCCTGGCAGTGTTTTTAGTAGTAGTCGATCTTCAAACTGGACCCTGTTTTTAAAAAAGAAAATCATTTTAATACCAATCAAAATGAATCACCATCCGCTGTTATCAAGCCACTACAGGCTTGCTTGACAGTGTGTGGCTCATCTTTGAAGTGGAAAACAGACGTTTTATACATGAAAACAGAAAGCTTCGGGCATTCAAGGATGGTAGCATAAAGTAGCCTTATAAATGTAGGAGAAGGTCAGAACTTGAAAAGAACTGAACTTTCACATTCCTTATTAGTTTTTAAAACTGTATGTTTATGCAGAACACACAAAATGGTCCTTAAATCTTGTATTCTCCAGAGCTGGTTATATTATCAATCATTTTCTTTTTAGTTGTTTGGTCCATAAAATGTTAGAAAAGGGTGAAAAATGTCAATCACTGTTTGAAGGTGATGTCCTAAATTGCAGTTTACTGTCATAAATTACTAAAGAAAACAGAAAATATTCACATTTCAGAAGCTGAAATCAGTGCACTCCACTGCAGCTCAACAGTAAAACATGATGTTAAATCAAGTTAGTTCAGAAGACTATTTGTATTGTGTAGAACTTGGGCTACCTCAGACTGTTGAAGCCTCATTTTAACTTAAGATAGACATGCATTTTTGCACAGAACAAGGACTGTGGGTTTTGTGCCCCATCACTGACACTGAAAGTTTTTTACTGACACGTATCTTTTAGAGTGCTTTTGGGATGTAATATTTTCCTAATATTGGAGAGCCACCATTCAGGCAAGTGAGAAATAGTTAATCAAGTGATGAGATTCCAGCTCAAATTGCACATGATGATGTACTGAAAAGGGTTTGGAGTAAAGCATTAGTTTACCGTGTGCTTCATGAGCCTATTACATCATCTGGCTGTCCCGCATCTCGCTGAAACTCATCACTCAGAAAATGGACCACGGGAAACTCAATCCACTCTGTTTTATAGTCTCAGCGGTAGAAAAAGCAGTAGCCACTGGGGATGTAGCCACAGTACAAAAGGCTTAGGAGAACTGGGTTTGCCTCTTGTACTAGACTGAAGGGATCCAGGAGTGTACTTAGTTTGATGTTCTTTGACTTTCTGTCTTCCTTGGAACGAAACCCAGTTATTAGAAATTCCACAGCAATATCCTAGGAGCCCAGATGCAAGAGACTGAGCGCATCCTCAGTGCTCTTATTAAATCTCCCCAGCTACCAGACAGAGACGCTGCAGAGGCTATAATGAAGCAATTACAGGCAGGAGAGGAATGAGCACCGAGCCCAGGTCCAGACTGCTTTTTACTGCCACTAGAAAGCTGACAGCAAGGCACAGAGGAGTGACAGGGGTGATATTTATTTCCCAAGAAGTGTTAAAATTGGATTAAGTAGGCTAAAAGACACCTAGGTAAGGGTGAGGATAATAAAATGCCCGAGGATGAGAGTAAATATGCCAAAAACAAAACGATATCTGCCAAGCCTGGACTTTCTGTGCATTCTGTGATAGAAGTGTAGGACATAAAGCACAGCTGACAATAAAGAGCTAATGTCACTTTGCATGATAGTCCATTATTTTTATTGTTGTACATTTTTCTGGTAACATATCTTTGACGTTAAGCAGTACAGACAACGCTTGTTAAATAAGCAGCATGGGCAGGACTGTGGGGTTTTTTCCTTGGATTTTATTGTTGAATAAGTTACAGTTTCTTTATCTGGCACACTTTTGGTTTTCTGTTGCGGTTATTGCTCTCTGCTCTACTGCTCTCTCAACTCTTCAGTTCTTGTATTTCTTCCAAACACATTCAAATCTAAAACAAATAATGCTTAATTTATTTCTTTATTTTTTATATAGACCTTCTGTGCACTGGCTATTTAGATAGAAAATTGGATAATGATTTATAAACTGTGAATGATGTGATATAAACTTAAGTTCAAGTGAGTTATGCAGTTGGTGTTCCTTTTACAGGCTATCCATTTTTATTAGAAAAAGCTTTTAAGATGTTATTTTGGACACTCTGCACCCCTGCCATATGGAGTTATCTCAACTTTTTCTGTGCTGAAATGGCAAGATGTCTTACTGACATGATAGCGGTAAATATATTTACATATCTCAGTGACAGAGAAGCACTCATAGTTGTCTCTGAATAACACTCATCTCAAATAATAATATAACACTAAGAATAAAAATGAAATCGATAGGGAAGATAGATACACTTGAATGAACAGGATTAATGAAAAAAGTAATAAAAGTAATATTCCCTACCTCCTGACAGAATGCTTTCTCTCTATTCTTCAACTTGTTTCTCACCCTGAGGCTCTGCAGACCCCATAAAGCCCTTTTAGCTAATTTTCCAAACACATGACCACCAGACAACAGTTGGCTGGTTTTAGCCCCACCAGCAGTAATTAAGACAGAGATAAATCCCTGCTTACAGTAGCCAGATAGACAGGGTTGAGTGCAACAAAACAAAAGATCAGTGTACTAGGTGAAGATGGGAAGACATAAACAGCACCGAGTAAAATGAGAAGAAAATTTCACTCGCACCCTACTCTGAAGCTGGAAGTGTCAAATCCCAGAGGGGCTTCTAAAAAGCTGGAGTTGTAAACGTGAATGAGTAATGTTCACTGGGTTGGAGTAGTGCTGTAGGGATTTGGGATTTGATTCACACAGATGCCAGTCATGCTGAAAATGCACACACTCCTGCTCAAATGCTCTGGCAACAAATGTGCTGTGTAAGTAACGCAGGCGGGCTTGTTGTCAGTGTGTGTGATCAAATCCACCAAACACACAGCAGATGCGAAATTCAGTGCAGAGTTCATTCTGTATCACTGTTCGTCTCCGATTGTTGTGTACCAGAGGCAGAAAATAGGCTCCACTTTGTTGGGATAAATCTGATGAGAAGATGTTGTAGATTCAATCTTGACGTTTACATAAACACTAATAATTTCATAAGAACCGGATTAAGGCCTGATTAGTGCAGCTGTCTTATTAACATTTTCACCAGGTTAAATTAGGTGAATGAATCTTAAAATCTAAACAAGCATAAACTGATTAACAGGCCTATATTAATTGTCAATCCTCAAATTACTGTGCTGTGTAATTACATTAGACGGCTTTCTTTCAGAGCTATGAACCTTGGCACATGCCAGGAAGGGTGAGTGAGGGAAACAAAAGGTGTTGCTATAGGAAACGTGTCCTGAGATAACATCTGTTATGATTGGCCATCTTATTAATGAAATAAAAATGAATGTTAGCAGAAGTGAGTTAGCATCACAGATTAGATTTATTTGATGCGTGTTGCGTTAGCATCCATATGTATACATTTGCATTCATGCTTGGTCATGAGCTACGGTTTCCCCATTTTGTTTTCCCTTATGTGGCTTGAAGGTCGACAAGATCAGTATCAACAGTGAAGTCAGTGAGTTTTATGGCTGCACTGTTCCATCAAATGAAGATATTCTGCATCATTTACACACATTTATATTCATTTGATCAAAAATCCAGCTTGACATGTGTGGTATCTTTGGAAACTTTTGGATCTCCATTGATTTAAAAAAAAAAGAAACACTAATTTAAAATAAATTTCCATCAGTTTAACAATGTTTGGCTGCATAGCATGGGTTGGTAATCACTCTAAGTATAGCTTAATGGACTGGTGTGATTGTTTTATTTGCCTCATTGCAGTTTATTGCCAACATCTTTATGTTTTATTGTTAGCATTTATCTTTTTTGCTGGTGGTCTGTTATTCCACTTTATTTGTGTTATTATTTTAATTGTATAATATTATTTGCCTCAGTTCTGAAATGTTTTAATCCTGACTCAATCATATAAAGCCCTTATGCACAATTTGTCTTGAAAAGTGCTGTATAAAAAAAGTTTATTAACTTAAGAAGTCATAAATGTGTCCTGTA